TTTTATCCATTTTCAGCAGAAAATTACTCAAACTTAGTCAGAATCATCTTGGGTGAATGAGAGTATTACTTTGTAAAATTGGGATTCCTGCCCCATCCCCAGGGGCTAGGGCGGGGCCCCAAAGGGAACATTTACCAATATTTTCAAATTCTTATCCATTGATGACATGACAAGTATTGTATTTCACTTAGTTTACATGCTGATTTCCACATCACATCTAAACAATAAAATAAAGCTACCAGTACCTATGATATAACTCAGGTGACCGCTAAGGCCCTTGGGCCTCTTGTTATATTATACCATTTAACAACAAGTGTCCCAAAGGGCCTGGTTATTTCTCATGGTTTTTATTTTATACCATTTAACAACAAGTGTCCCAAAGGGCCTGGTTATTTCTCATGTTTTTTATATTAAACTATTTAACAACTAGAGGTCCAAAGGGCCTGGTTATTTCTCATGGTTTTTATATTAAACCATTTAAAAGGAAAAACTGCTACTTTGAAATTTGCTCTTGAAGGGGATCATTTTTTTAATTACGCACATAATACACGATCAGACCAATTTTGGATTTAAAATCCTTTTTATTTTAATGCATTTGAACCATGGCCTTTCATTTTCTCCAGTGTCTTCTTAATGTTGTTTTGGGGGACATTGAAGAAAGCAAAATTGACCTTCTGTCCCATTACAACACTGGGATCTTTTTTATTTCTATTCTCACTTCCAAACACATTTTCGGTGGTATCTCCCCTATGTACCCAACTTCATATTACCTTAGACCAATAAAATACTGTAAATGAAGACAAAATTATTTTCCTTCCGACCTACCCTATTTTTTCAGACTTTTATCTGAAACACAAAATTGTTTGTCATAGCTGTTTCGAGGACGGTAACTCACAAACAAATTTACAACAAACGAAAAATAAAGAGACTTGCCGTAAATCATCACTCTAGGAATGATGTTTCCAAAGAAGAAGTTGAATATGTCCTTATAGTAAATATGCGGTCGCAAACCTATAATATTCTTATAGTTTAAGAACACGTTACTAAACTTCCAGAGAGTGATCGATGTGCAGGTAACTAACTAATTTTAGCGACACACGATTGGTACCGAAGATTGTTCACGTGTGCTTGAGCGCAATGAACTATAGAACTGTTCATGCAGCACGGGCCAACTGAACATGTGCCCGCCTTATGTATAAACATTGGGAACATGTGGCTGCACTAATCATTGTACGACCTGGAGATTTCAAAATATTTTGAAAGTTTGAAAGTAAGTCAACATGTTTCAAATTTTAATATCAATTTTAGTTTGAAATTTGTGTTTTGATTGAAGATTTAAATTCCTAACAGTTTCAAAAGTTTTGCATTTAGCCTGTACATTTCCATACTTTTTTCTTAACTCTATCGCCATACACAACAGCTAGAGACCGCAAAAACTTGAAAATGCCCGACAGCTGACTGAAATTATCGAGTTATTTCCCTTTACACACGATTTTGAATCGATTTCAAATTTGAACCTGAGCAACCTCTATCACCAGGGGAGGGGCGACGCTCACTTTCACTCTCTGCATAAGAAACACCTAGAAAATGTCACAACTACATCGAAGCCCAAGCGTGCACCACCATGTGGATAAGACGAAAAGACAAGTGTGATTTTTGATGTACATCAAAAGAATCTCGCGGTCGCGGAATGGTAAAATTGACTTGCTGTGAAGTTGGGTGTCTTTTCTCTGTTATCTTCAAATGACAGCCTAGCGATTGGTCAAGATTCTTTTTACCTGAGACCGATGAAGTAGCTAGCAGCTTGCCTTCAATTTTGCTATGACATATTCCAAGGGTACACGTAGCTAAAGTGAGCGTAACCCCTGGAGTATCGAGGATGACCAGAGCAAGACCGCTAAGAATACTCTGCTTTGCATTTGCCTAGCTTCTTTCCGAACTTTTTTTTGTACCGGTAATTGTTTATTTTTTTCAACTCTTTTTTTTTTAAACATACATAAAATTTTACAATCAAAAGATCATTAATCATTATCAGCATCATCATAAAAAGCCATTCATCATGATTGACAATTACATAATATATATAATCTTCATTATCATCATTACTGGCATCAAGTATCATCACCATTTATAATTATATGCACACTTATTATCATTCATCAAAATGCCACTCATCATCACATCATTATAATAATCATCTTCGTGTAATTATTCGCATCATTATTATCATCATCTTCATGTGATTTTTCATCATCATCTCCATCATCAATTGACAATTTATTCTACAGACATTCATCTTCATCGTTTTTCATTACATCATCCTCACAACTATTGCTATAAAAATACATACCCCCGCACACATCCACTCACACCCTTGCACACTCACACACTTATACCCTTTCACACAATCACACACAATCACACACACACCTGTTGAGAGAGAGAGAGAGAGAGAGAGAGAGTGAAGTACAAAAAAAACAATCTTATAAACTGAAAGAGGAAAAGATAACTAATACATAGGTTCAGCACTGCCAGGCTTTGAGGAAAAACCATACTTTATAAGGAGTACTTGAGTTAAAATTTATTAATGGAAAATAATAATAATGATAAAAAAAATAAAAAAAAAACAATAAAATAAAAAAAATAACTTGACCTACATCTGTAATAATGGCTTCCACTTTATCCAATTGATTTCAAACATTCTCTTTTTATACTGATTATTTGCATTATTCAAATACTTTTGAACAATAAAATGATCCTTAATAACATTAACAACGGCATCTAAATTTAAAGATTTGTTAAAACATCTAGTTTTATATATATAATGCTTTATGAGCATTATAATTTCATTATCGACAGCGCTGGTCTGTGGTGATGTGATTCCAAATAGGAAAGATTCTTTATTTGTTGAAAAGGCAATGAACAAGATATCTAAAAGATTTTCAAGTTCCTGTAGTAGTCCTTGAACTTTTCTGCATTACCATAAACAACGAAATATTGTTTCTGGTTCACTATTACAAAAGGTACACAATGGACTTGAAGTAATATTTATTTTGAACAGATTTTTTTTTGTTACTAGTATATGATGTATAATTCTCACCTGAAACCATTGTAACTTTGAGCTCTTTGAGACTGTAAAGGGAATTCTATAAATTTTCTTCCATTTTTCTATATCAAAGATAAAAGTTCTCCCCCATTTCTTTACCCCAGTGGGTACAGGAGCTGGTGTAATGAGACAGTTGTAAAAATCTTTTGAGCCTTTATGATTTCTGAAAAATATTTCAAAAAGCAGAGGTATAAAAGGTTGGGCTGACTTTTCAAACTGTAGCTCTAAACTCAGATTTCTCTAGAAAAGATTTTACCGCTGATACCAACCCATGATATTGAAGAAAGTTGGTGTTAATTCTATACCGATCCAGAAACTCATGTAGTGAGAAAAAAGTTAAATTTCTAGGATCTTTAATCAAGTCATTTAATGAAAATATACCAGCATTAAACCAATTTTGATAGAAAATGAAATTATTTCCAATTTGTATATCTCTATTATACCAGAGTGGAGTTTTCAAAATAGAGTCATGGTCAAGTAAACTATTCTTAAATAAACTTGAATTATTCATTTTTGCCCACCCTATAAAAATATCTTTCCATAATGTATTTGTACAGTTAGATCCACATGAAAGAATAAAAGCATTCCCACAGTTCTGCAACTTTTTCAAATCTATCATTGAGTTTAGGAGCAGGGTCCATTTTCCTGATGACTTAAATATCCTGGCCACCCAACCCAGTTTAAGAGATTCCATAAAAGCTTGGATATCAATCATTTTCAAACCTCCATCTAAATGATTTTGAATAACAACATCCTTCTTTATTTTATGAGGCCTATCATTCCAAAGAAAGTCAAATATTATAGAATTCAATTGAACAATATACCTCTTCGGGGGGTTTGGTAAAGTAATAAAAAGATAATTTAGCTGAGAGATTAGCAAGGACTTTATAACATTAATTTTTCCTATGGGGGTCAGATTCCGAACTTCATATACAATCAAATGTTTTGAGATGTTAAATGCAACCGGCGAAAATGAACCATCGACAATGACTAGTGATGCTTAGGGATATTTTGCAATGACTGAAAAGTTGACTTGGATTATTATCAGAAGGGATGCAAGTAATTTAAAGAATTTTAAACACTTTTAAAGTTTCGAAAGATTTGAAGGGACCTGGGCCGGTATCTATGTTCTTGTGCTAAAACTCGAATTCTGTTGCGACAGCCAAATTCCTTGTTCGAATGATAAACTAATAAGAATATACATTTTGTCAATTATCTGGAATTACTTTGGCAAGACTTAAAGCATATTCCTTAGTTTTTAAATATGATTTAATCAAGGTACAAGAAAGTTGGTTTGAGCGTAGAATTCATGCTCGAGCACGAAAAGGATTTTATGAATACGAGTCCTGAAAAGGTTTCCCACAGTTCGAGAAGGCTATAATTATTATGTTCTAAGCAATGATCTATCTTAGTTAATGTATTCATGAACATGCTGCCTTTGTAAATTTTAGACATTTTAAATACAAGATTTTCATATGACCATTGATGATGATCATTAAACTATAATGCAAACATCTGGTTTTAAGGTAATTTTCGGTATTCAGCCGAGTTTTGGGAATTGGTCGGCATCAACATATCAAAAGAAATTCTTAAGACTGCAGAGAAATTTCTCACACTCAACATCCAGATGCATAACGTATTTATCTGTCCCTTTTTTCTCTCTCAAAAAGTGTTACCACTTCTGAAGCATATTATGAAATTGAAAATCATCAATAAACTATCAAACTCCCCAAAATCATCTGAACAGGTTTCTTATGCAACCATTAACGTAAAATACTGCAATACATAATTATATCTGAAGTTAAACTTGTCTTAAGGTGTTAAAGAACGATTCGTTTTAAAATGTAAATATTATATTAGGTGTTTGAACATTTTCATACTGAATTTGTTTCCATTTAAATATAGTTTTTGCTGCAAAGGAACCTATTTCGGCCAATTTAGATATTCTACAGAGAGGCCTACTTTCACCAATATGCATGGGCATTCTACAAGTGGACCTACTTAGACCAGTTAACTTTGATTTGAAGACTCTTGAAAAAACAACAAAAAAACAACAACACGAAACACGAAACTTTTCTTATGCAACACAAATGTCTGTGCTCGAAAAGACGCGGTGCTAATCCTGCCTGGAATATAGTTGAAACAGTTAAGCCGTTATATACAAATGTAATCCTCATATAGCAACCAAGGTAAAAGTTTGCTTTTTTGGCAGATCGGTTGACAATGTGTTATTTAGGGAGGTCTAATCTTAAGTCCTCTTCGTAATCTTAAATCAGACTTTTAGTAAAATATTTTTCGTTTCCACATTTTGACATGTAATTAGCATACGTTCATGTTGCCAATGTTCGTGTTCACCACTGTCATCCGGACACCGAACTTACCAGAGGTGTTTCGGGAGATACAGCCGCAAGGAAAAACTTTAAAGGAGAGAAAAGCTATGTTGCAGATAAAATAATGTTTTATTTTAAGAAAGCAGTTCTTTCTAATTATCTTTATTTTTATTGATAAGATATGATACTATCATTTTTTTTCTTGCAAATGTGAGGAATTTTTCATTTATAAAACGTGTTTAAAAAGGATACTACATTAATTTAATGAAAATATATGGCAACAATGACTTTTGGAAAAAGTTCAGTACGGCATTTTTTTTTCAACAAAAAGGTATCGTTCAATCGTCAGCTAAAACTTTTCATTTCAAAATTCCTTTTTGCATTCACGGTCGATAAATAGCCTCATCAATAAACATTACCGTTTAGCTGATATTTCGCGTGCGCAAACTGTGTACGTGTGCGAACGCACTGCAAGTAAAATATCCGGACACGTTCCGGTTTGTATATTGGTATAACAAGGACGAACGAAGGCTAGGCCAAGGACGTGTGAGGTCACAGCCAGCTGAATCTCGAGCAAGAAGGAAATCCGAGACACCGGGAGAGACAGTGAGCTGTCATTTCACCAGAGTCGATCTATTTAGTCAAAACATGGCTGCTCGTCCTCAGTCAGATGTTGACAAGCGTAAACAGATCAGTATTCGCGGAATTGCACCGGTGGAAAATGTTGTCGAGATTAAGAAAACATTCAACCGGCATCTGCATTATACGGTGGTGAAGGATAGAAATGTCTCGACCCCTCGGGACTACTACCACGCCCTGGCCCACACTGTCAGGGACCACCTGGTGGGGCGCTGGATCAGAACACAGCAACACTACTATGAGCAGGACCCTAAGGTAAGACAGGTGCCCGCTAATATATACTGATGCAGACATGATGCTGATGATGCTGTCACCGGATAGACACCGTTCTATGCACACGTTATATTAGTCCGCTAAAACTGACCATAATCGCAGGCTCAAAAATTCATGTTATACTGCCTTCATATAAAATCTGTTTATAAGTGGTACATCTATATATTTAACCAATCTGCACTAGGTAGATTTTTTTTTTTAAATATGAATAAATTATTGGAAAATAATTATAAAATTCGATGGTTTTCGATAATGCTGAATGGTATAAACACTGTAAGATAAACATGATTAGATGCAAACAATACCACAGTGCAGGTATTCCAGTGGATTTGTGTGCAAGATTAATGATAATGCTGTTTATTTATTTCACTACCTGACCTCTGCATGACCCCGGATTATTTATAGTGCACTTTGAGGGATTTAAAATTTATCTTGTTCCTTGACAAAAGCCTTAGGGTATAATAACGCATGTTTTTGAGTGTTATATTTTTTTTCCAGGTGTACTAATGTACACATGTATATTCAAATTTATTGCAAATCAACTTCTTCCGCTCAACAGAATGAGATATTTTGATACATTTTTTCACAGAATTTATAAATTGTGTATGAACAACTATTTAATTTATGCATTCAGTGTATAGATTTGAACACACAAATGATATAATTGCAATAGTTGGGTATTTGTACACAAATGTACATCATGACTTATTTGTAATTTCAATTTGTACACATTTTTGTTACTGGAAAATTTGTTGATTTGTAAACAAACGTATATGTCGTTCATGACTGTAACCGTTTCATTGCTTATGCTGCCAAATATATTTATGTGTGCAAAAAAGCATGCAGGTTTATTTCCGACCTGACCATCAGCTTATATTACCTAACTCAGGCCAAAAAGAAAAATATGTTTGTTTCAGGTAACATGATTAAAAAAAATAGGGAAGGTCGGTAGGGATTCCACTTTATTTTTTTTCTGAGGCAGGGAAGGGAAATAAATAGCTCATTTAAGAAATTATAAAATTCACCAGACACGGTTATTCAGACCAAATGTGTTTAATTTTTCATAATATTGTTAGATTATATGGGATTTAAGTTGGTTTTTATACTTGCTTGTGAAATGAAAATATGTCATATAAAAGACGCTTACATTTTTGGGTGCGTTTTTTGGCCTTATGAATAGTTTACAATTTACTGGTGTGGAACTGTAACAAAAGTCTCCATGTCAGAGGGGCAGCGCTGGCCAAGTGGTTTAAGGTGTCTGTCATTCTGCTACCGCTAACCCCTCCACCACTGGGTCGCAGGTTTGAGACCTACGTGGGGCAGCTTAAGTCTCCTTGTAACAGTAAGGTAACATACACCCTTAAGTCTCCATGTCACAGTTAGGTTACATACACCATTAAGTCTCCATGTCACAGTAAGGTAACATACACCATTAAGTCTCCATGTCACAGTAAGGAAACATACATCATTAAAAAGTTTTTTTTGTAATACTCTATACACATTAACAAGGCCAAACAATTTTTTTTCATTGTTTTTTATATAAACCCTATCTACTTTAAACTTTTGTAGGCATTTTTTCAAAAAAGAAAAAGCACTGTTAAAAGTCAAGACCACTCTCCTATGTAAACATTTTAAAGAATAAATAGAGGTTACACAACGAGTGGTTGTTGAATATGGTATTTATTTCACTCGAGTTAGTTAATTTTAGTTAAGTGTCTTTCTGTAACTTTTGAAAATTAAGTAACGAGAGTGAAATAAATACCATACTCCACAACCACGAGTCGTGTGATCTGTTTCTATTACCACCATCTCATGATCAGTCGGAAATAACATACACACATGTGTTTGTTGACAAGGCTGGTGTAGTGATTTGATCCATATGTAAAAAGTCACTCATTAATATTCATTAATGGCTTCTTTTTTTTTAACAAATCCAATAATTGTCAAAATTAATGTTTCGGCAACGACTTCATGAAAAAAATATAATAGATGAACGACTTTAAATATTGGGAGTAGCAGTATTGCATTAATTTATATAAATTAACCACGTACTATATGCGCTTAGCATATCGTACGAAGTCTGCCTCCCGCCAAGTGACGAAGACGAACTTATCGCTGTCAATGTCCAAAACCATAGGCCTATGTTTCTTCGTGACGGTTCTATGGTTGACGTTTATAGTGACAGTTCAGCCATAGTCAGACCGTCCAAATAGCGATAACGGGACGTTGGGAGAACGAAATATTTCTGACACTATGACAGATCTTGTTTTGGTTTCACGACCTGGACATGCAACGGTGTGACGTCGAAACGATATTGAGCGTCTGTAGCAATTTTGCCTGAAACTAGCGATCAAATCTTTAAGTATCATCTTCTTTTAATATTGCCTTAATAACCCCCTATTCCGCATAACCTCACAAAGTCACCAACATTTGACGAATGTTGACAGCAGACGACATAAACAAAAAAGATTGTGGCAAAAAGCGCGTGAAAAAGTCGTCCCGGTCAAAGTTCATCTTCTCGACCAATCAAAACTTGTGTAGGTCATGTACCACGTGTGGTATATAACTCAAATTTATCTCACAGTCTACGTGTTTATAAAATGATCTGAGAGTGGAATAACACAGCGTATTGTGGTAGAAAATGGGTTACCTACCTATAATATATAGCTACATGTACCAGGCTTAACTTTCAAACATGTTATAGGAAACACATATATATTTTTGTTTGGCCTGGGTGTACCTAGTGTCCTCCATATATATCTATTCGACTCATTACTCTCAGATTACCATGTAAGGCGCAAGCCGAGATTTTAAAACCTCATTGCAACAAAGCTTCGATAAACATGGTTCGATTTACTTTAACTTGCTTGATCTATCACCCAACACGAATAAAAATCAAATGTCGTGATGTGTGTTGGTGGTTCATGTTGAGGACATCTTAATATTGTATTTTCTCTATTGTTGTATATTCTCTGTTGTTGTATATTCTCTATTTGTATATTCTCTATTGTTGTATATTCTCTATTGTTGTATATTCTCTATTGTTGTATATTCTCTATTGTTGTATTTTCTCTATTGTTGTATACAAGTATATTCTCTATTGTTGTATATCACAATTCCTTTTGGACTGCCACTACTTGTGCTTAGTGACAAAACATACGGTACGAAAAAGGAAAAATCTTTTGTCTAATTAAATCTGCATGTCACATTTCTTTTGCCATATCATATGAATGATATTTATAACAATTTGATCAACCATTATAACAAACTTCATATCAAAAACAGGATTTTGCTTTAAAACTCAAATACTAGCTCAGATAACTTGAATTTTTTCCACCATCCCATCAACTTCAAGATAAAGAAGTTCAACTGTAAGATTAAGATAACAACAGATCACAAGGTTAAACAAAGCACTTGTTTATCTCATATAAGTTAGACACATCAGGTGATTCATTTTTAATGTCAAGTAAATAGCGTTATTTATTGCATACACATTCAAACCTGTCTAAAGTGAAAACTTATGAAAACTGACTTTCTGTCCGTAGTATTGGGACACCTGTCTGTCCTGATCATACATCCCATTGGTGGGTCTAACCCCCTTACTGACCTTTCCAACTGCCCTTAGGGTATTTTACATGTCTCAGTATCTAGTTCATTAGGAGTGGCCTGACCTTTCTCTCGTCAAGCTAATTAGAACAATACAATACCACAGGATGTCATTCGAAGTGTCAACTTAAATTATTTTTGCGTCACCAACTTCGGTCAACCCACAAGGTCATTAACTCATTCACCCCTAAAGATACATTTGAACCCTTCCAATGCAAAGGTTGGAATAGTTCATTATAAAATTTCAGGGGTGAATGAGTTAATGACTATTATACTGAAATACGTGTATTATGATGGGTGCATATGTGAAGTGAGAAGAGGGGGATCACTTTTCATTAAATTACCTTGGTAAATGTTCAATATTTTAAATGTGATGGTATGAATGCCATTCAATTTTCTTCATCATCTACAAAACGGGCAGTTTGCTGGTAGAGCTTCCTGTTAATATGATAACCATGGATGACCATATCTCGTTGAGTAGAGAGTAATTTTATTTTTGTAACGATGGATTTTCAATTTTTATGAAGTATTTTATGTGAATGTCACTGACAGCAATAAAGATAAAACTAATAACCTGCTGCGTAGTTTGTTAATTTGTAACAACATAATCCTGTTGATGTGTCTTTTTTTTGAGAAGATGACAGGTAGTATTAAGTCATAATTTCTTGTAGATTTCTTGTAGCTGCCTTTATATTAAAAATACACAAAATTAATAAAGAAATAATCTCTCATTTTGCATGTTAACATGTATTTCTTGACAAGTCTGACAAGCATTAAAGCAAAATTGCAGTTCTATTTTCTGGATTATGTACCGGTTGTACCAAACTAAATGCACTTAGCTCACTTTCAAGATAATTTTACACATGACAACCCATTCTTATTTATTGAAAAATGAAGACCAGGCTCAATGCATGGCGTGTAAGGAATCATGTACAGTAAAGCACTTATTATGTGACTAAATTGAGTTTCAGCCAACAATAATTTATATTTTATAATACAGTATAACAGATCTCAAATCTCTTCTCGAAACAGTCAATATCTCTACAATTCTAACCTACTGAAAAATTCTTGGTCTTTTGGAAAAGATATAACCAACCATGGCCACTTTTACTTTTCAAGTCTTTTACCTTAGGCTTTCACTCGTTAGATCTAATTTCCTTTAGCATACATACATGTTAGACTTTTTATTGGCCGTTTATTGTTAAAAAACATCATTCTTGGCTTAGAGAAACACAGAAGCCATGTCCAATGTCTAAATATCAAAATTTCCCCAGGGGAGCACGCCCCCAGACCCCACAAGAAGACGGCTTGAGATTTCAGGGTTTGACGAACGCCTTTGATGAGGTTTTAAAGACCCCAGTCACCTGAATGCTTTC